GTACGGTGTCGAATAATCTGGTGTCGAATAAATCTGTGTCGAATCGAGCGGTGTCGAATCGTACTGTGGTCAATAGAGTATCACCCGTTGTGACGGAAGCTCTGGACAAAGCGTTTACAAGCAAAAGTTAAACGCAGACGGCATATCAGATGAAAATGTGTTTTTCACCTCACTTGTACCATTACAGCTTGTTTGTAAGGACCAGAAATCGAACACCAAAATTGTTGTCCGGAAAAATCCTGGATATTCGTCTTCTCTATTCTGTAGGCCGATAAGACTGCAGTTTCTGCATGAGAATGAAATTCAGTCAACAATAAAGGAAGTCAATGACATTGAACAACAAGCAAAGTCACTTGTTCTTTTTATAACACAAATACATGGAATGGAGGTCTCGGTTAAATACAGTCTGGCATTCACGATGATTGATAATAAAGTTTGCAACGCGGTTTCAGGCACAAAATCTATTCTACGTTGTTATTTATGCGGAGCTACATCCAAGGAATTGAACAACATAGATGTGATTCTGCAAAAAGAAATCACTGATGAAACTAATTTACGGTTTGGAATGTCAACACTGCATGCCTAGATATGTTTCTTTGAATGCTGTTTGCATTTATCATACAAACTTACGGTTAAGAAATGGCAAGCACGTACTGAGGAGGAAAAAAAGTAGAAGAACGCAAACGAATAATCCAAAAAGGATTCCGATCGCAATTAGGGCTAATTGTCGATAATCCAAAGCCTGGTTATGGAACCACCAACAACGGAAATACAGCTTGTCGCTTTTTTGAAAACTCCAGTGTATCTGCTATAATAACAGGTGTCTCTGAATGTTTCATCAGACGGTTCTATGTAATTCTGCACGCTATTTCAAGTAGTCATAATATTAAGTGCGACAAATTTCAAGAATATGCTGTGGAAACTGCGCGATTATATGTCGACTTATATCCATAATATTACATGCCAATTTCAATGCACAAACTTTTAATTCACGGGCCAGAAATAATAGCTTCCGCTTTGTTACCAATAGGGCAAATATCCGAGGATGCTCAGGAAGCACGAAATAGACATCAAAAGATTTGGTGAAAATTTCTCACAAAAGTGCACACAAGAAAAAACTATGAAAGATGTTTTCAACCGGTTGATGGTCACTTCTGATCCATATATTAAGTGTGAGAAAATTGCCACAGAAACCACTCAAATCATTATTGCCAGAAACTATTGAATTATTAGACTCTCCAACAGTCCATTCTGCAACAACGAATGACGAATATATCAGTTTCGATACTTCATCAAGTGAATGTTCCGACAAAACTGATTCTGATATACAATATAATTCTGATACAGAAATTCAAGATTTTTGTTTATAAACTTTTACTTTTTTATAAAATTTTAATCTATGAAAAAATTAATTTATCAAATATATTTATGTAAAATAAATGTTTTCTTTTTAATATACGAAATGTATTGTACTTTTATTTTTCAGCAAACTGGAATATTTGAATATACGAACTTTTGTTCAAATCAAGCATCTTTTGACACCATTCAAGGCCGTCATTTTGTTTGTAATTTCGACTTTGCATTAGTAATCACTGACTTCAAAAACCGTTATACACTAAATTTTGTCATAATCGGACATTTTTTTTTATATTTAAGTCCGCTATTTTAGATCCGCTATCTTGTGTTTTGTCATTTTGATTTTGGACTCGTAATCAGCGACCTCAAGAATCCTAATATACCAACTTTTGTATAAATCAAACAAGTATTTAATTTATGGCCAGCTTTTCGGGATTATGGACCACTGGCCGGGAAAACCGGCATCCGGCCGCATAGGGAGAATTTTACATGCTCTCTGCCCGGAAAACCGGCAACCGCCCCGCGAGACCGAGGGCCTCGTCACGATGACCGACCCGACGACCGGCGCCGGCAGTGCCGGCACGCCGAGTCCGAGCGTCGCAGCGCTGACGCCGCTCAACCGCCACCGCAGCGCACCGCTCCAGCGCAGGCTCGTATTGCTACGCAGCGGGCCCCGAGCACTTCGCTCAGATTTGTTAAGTTACTCTTGTAGAATCAGATTTCTTTCGTTTAAATTTATCATTGCGTTCTATTATAATATTTTTTTTACTTTATACATTTTGGTTTGTTTTTATATTGTCTTTTCTTTTTTTTTTGAATAAACAACCGTTTATTTTTCTAACTAAAAAACCGAGTTCACTCAGAGTTTTTTTTGAAGAACCTTAACCCGGCGAGATACTAATGCTACTCCGCAGCATTAAAATTAAATATTAAGATTTTCTGAATAAAACGAGGGCTATAAAAATTCGGACCGTTACATAACACAATTTGCTTTGTAAAATTAATAAATTTAGTTATGTTAAAAAAATTACATTTTTCTTATTTCCTGTTCTCCATTAGCAGAAATAATAATATTAAACATATAAGATACGCTCGTTAATATAACAACAAAATATAAAAAAATAACAAGGTCTGTTTCGAGCTAATAGAAGATCTTAAAAAGTTTTAATATTAAACAGTGATATCAGAAATATAGAATGATATCAAAAAACAAAGTACAAATTACAAATAAACAGCAACACATCGGCTTGGGTCCTTCGCTGGCCGTAACCGGTTCGTTCTGCGTCAATTTTCACGTAGATGCTTACTTCGGCTCATTTCCTCGCATCACGAGGACAAGAACTCCAAAGGGATTTCCACTCCGGTTTTTGTGGAATCAGAGTGCTAGCATCTCCCGTTTTTATATTCCGTCGCCGACATCCTCGTCGAGCGCCTTGTACTTGTGACGTCCCTACGTTCCTGTACCGTTGCCTGTCTTTATCGTCGCTCCTCTTTGCTCTACCTCGTCCACCTCTACGCACTGTGAGCTGTTCTTTCTCTCTTTCTGCGCTGAAATACACGACTGAATAACCGCAAATATAATATTTTTGTACGGAGAAATATGCCGCGAGTATATATTTTGCCGTAAAATGAGCGTTACATATGTAGGTAAGAAAACAATTTTCAAAGTCTAACAATATGTGTATGTATTGTTATGTGTATTATTATGTATTACATGACTATAGTCGACATTAAGAGTGAAAGGGTTAATATTGTTGCAAGATGCGGCGCGTGTCGTCCACGCGGTATACGAAGATGTTCGTCGAACGATCGATTGCTCTAGAGGCTTTTTGTTCGGGTAGCAACGGGGATTGTTTACGGCAAGGTTCAAGCGAGAAGTTGGAAGCCGGACTCGGAATCGGCAAAAGGCTGGACGAACGGCTCGGGATTTCCTCGCGTATTTACCGCGGCCTTTGTAACGCTTTCGTGAATAAAGCTCTTGTGTGATATACGCGGTGTTACTTTCTTTCCGCGAAGCGCATTTACACGGCCGGAACGCGACAAAACGCGGTCGTGAGCGCAACATTTGGGGGCTCGTCCGGGATCTGAAAGTTCGAGCTAGGGAAAACGACGGAATGGCTCTGGTTCACTCGCCGCGGAGAACGCGTAACCAGACTGCGACTGAAGCGGGTGAGGCGCCGGCGGCATCAGCGACGGCGTCGGAAGGAGAGACTTTGCGTGCGATCTTGGAGGAGCTGGAGCGACCCCGGGAGGAGCGGCGACAGGAGAAGAAGGACATGCGTCGTTTGGAGGCACGCGTTCGGCAGGAAACATCAGGCGACTCGTCTTCTAGTTTGTTGTCCGGTCGGGCGGGCGAGTTAGTTAGAATGAAAATTAAGCCCGACGTGTTTGATGGGAGCGTGCCGTGGCGTGAATTTTTTGTGCAATTCGAGCTGGTTGCTCGTGCGAACGGGTGGGACGACGCGGCAAAAGCCACGGTTCTCGACACTAGTTTGAGAGGGGGGCGCGCTCGATTCTGGAAGGATTAGAGGAAAATTTTAGTTTTCAAGAGATTTGTGCAAAATTGGAATTGCGGTACGGGGAGCGTGGAATTCAAAATTATTATATGCAATTTACGAATCGGAAACAGAAGAGCGGGAAAGATTTTGCTGCACTTGGGGCAGATTTGGAGCGATTGGCCCGTCTTGCTTACCCGGAATGCTCCTACAAAGTCCGGGACAAAATCGCTTGTGCGCAATTCATCGTTGCGCTCTCTGACAGATTCGTGAAGCGAACTCTTCAATTAGAAAATGTATCTTTGTTACGAGTCGCGGTTGAGCGGGCGAGGGCGGTAAAAGTTATTCAGGAAGGTAGTTTTGAAGAGGGAGGAGATAAGGGGCGAGACGGGAAGGATTTTAAACGTTCTTCTTATGGAAATTGGAAAAGAGGAAAAGCCGAAGACAGGCGTGAGGAGGGAGAGAAAGCTGTGACTAAAAAGAACGGCGGGGAGAGGGAATGCTGGAAGTGCGGAAAGAAGGGGCACTTTCGCTTTGAGTGTCCGGCTAATTTGTCAGGAAACAAGACTTCGTCGAGCTTCCGGGAGTGGGCTCGGCTGTGGGGTGGAACACTCCGGAGAAGTTGTTTTCTGTCAAAGTTAATAAGAAAAATAACACAGCCACACAAAAAAAAA